ATTGCTAAATTATAATTTGATTCAATTTGGTAAATTTTTCAACCTCAAAAAAAAACTGATATCAAATGAGAAACATATTCAAAAAGTTGAGTAATTTATCAAGAACAAATAACAACATCTTAAATTTTTGCACAAATAAAATTGTGAATAATATTACCTTCCTTAGTCATGAGCAAAAAGAAAATACAAAAAATTTTTAAAAGGAAGAGAGGAGAAGACAAACGCAGCTTTCTGATGCATTTTTGAAAGCATCATGCGTAAATAGACGACCCTCTGACACATTTTTGATTCTTTCAAAAATATCAAATCAACGGTCGCTTATGAATCAATAAAAGTCATTGAAAAGCAAACTCCCTATTTCCGTTGAAAAAACATTCACTTTTAGAAAATCAGGAATATTAGTTGAATATGCTACCATTCTTGCGAAAAAAAAATTTCATCTCGAATAATTTTAGGAGTGAAGTGTTTTATGATGCAAAATATTTGATAAATAAGCGACTCTGATAAATAAGGGACTCTTTTTTTTTTTTTAGAAATTAGGAAAAAGTCTAAAATATAATGCAACTTTCAAATGAAATTCTTCCATAAACATTCAAATTTTAGTGCAACAAAAATCAGAAAACAAATAATGTAACTTAAAGAAACTAAACAATAAAAGGATTGATTGAAAACATTGAATTTTTCAAGCAAAAAAATAAATAAAACAAAAATTTTTTGATCTTTCAAACCTGTGATCGTTCGTGAAATAATTTTGGACAAAATCGACATCCAAATGTTTTACAACCTTCAGCATTTGTACTTTCATCCAAATTATAATTAACACTATCCATTGTACCATCAAAATTTGATAAATCTGAGCTACTCGGTGAATTACCACCACTTTCACCATCCTAAATAATTATTTCAAAAAATAAATAAATTAATTAATTAATTAAGTAAGTAAGCAAGTAGTAAATAAGTAAGTAAATAAATAAATAAACAAATAAATAAATAAACAAATAAATAAATAAACAAA